AGAACGACATTAGTGTTCTAAAATGACAACCAGCTAAAAAGCTACTCCAAGCAAACCCATCATATTTTTTCAAGCCGAATCATCAATCGTGATCAAACAACCAATAATCTGAAACCAAATGCAAAGCGGTTAATTCATAAATTGAATCAAATCAACCAAATGTCAGTACGCACCACTAAATATTAGTATTCAACTATTACTTCAACAACTTGGCTTAAAATCTTTTAACTGCATTTAAACTATAATAGCATTTTGCTAACGCGACAATTTTCATAAAATCTTTTGACTGCATTTGAACTATAATAGCATTTTGCTAACGCGACAATTTTCACCAAATATCAGCAGCACACAACTACATTTACTTCTGAACAAAACCTCCCGGTTCTAAACATCAAAAATGTACTTACTATCTCTTCCATATGGATACATTCCCTCTTCCCCCATTTTATGGCCACTTCGTTGAAGGAAATAAAATAATTAAGACAGCTAAACAAGCCATACAGCCTTCCACCCCTTTCAAAAGGGACAACATATATTGAAAAATATATGTTTATGTCGTCTTTAATATCATAAAATAAAGACAGAATAAATATCAAGATATATCAAGCCAGGCTTAATATACGACTTTTACTTAAAAAGGTCACCACTGCTTGGGCCAAAAGCTTAAATTCAATTCATGAACTCTGTTCCTCAATGGCAAACAAGAGTTAAACCAATCACAGCTCATTTCAGCACCAATCAATTTTTACTGCTCATCATTCATACTCATTGATATCTCACCTGTATCGGCAGCTGCCTCAACTAGAGCATCTGTATTATCCATTGAAGACGGATTTTCAACAAGATTTTGAGTATCAGCTTGGTGGAGACCAGAGGCCGGCACATCAATGTCTACCATTGCCGTGATGTTCTGCAACTGAATATCTTCTGCTGATTTTTCAAAAAAAGTGGGATGTTCTGCTGCATCCTCAGCTGCCATGGAGTCCTGAAGCTCACCATTCCGTACATAATTTTCATTCAAAGTAGGAATTACTACTGGTTCTTCACAGTCCACTCGAGTTTCATATACTGCAGCATGCTCGGATTGCAGGGTTACTTCTACACGGGTCTGGTTCATTGCATCGAATGCATTCTTATTTGCATTGGCTTCATCTACAACTGCATGGCTTCGAACAATATCTTCCACCTGGGACATGAGTTCTATAGCAGCAATTTCCTCAGCCACACGGTTACTTAGAGAAATTTCTTCCTCGACAGCTTTTCGTGCAGCCAGTTCCTCAGCGGCTTTTTGTGCAGCCATTTCCTCACCAAGCTTTCTTACAGCCATCTCCTCAGCGGCAACAATTTCCTCGGCACGTATTCTTGCAGCCATTTCCTCAGCGGCATGATTTCTAGCAGCAATTTCCTCAGCAAGCTTTCTCGCAGCCAATTCCTCCTCCACAGCACGCTTTCTAGCAGCCATTTCTGCTTCTGCTTGCAAAAGTGTTTTGTGCACTTGGAGCATCCTCTGAATTTTCTCTTCCTCGACAATGAGATCTCCGTAGCGATCCTGTAAAATGCGTTCAAGCTCTTTCTGCTTATTGACTTCCTCGATCAAATTATCAATCCTGTAGGAACCAGCATCTCGTTCCTGCTTCTGCAAGGCTTGGAAACATTCCAGCTCCGTAGCAGCTGTTCCCATTTGCTTGAATGTGGCTTCTATTTGTGACCACAATTTTCCACCCCTCATCTGTTCATCCACAGAACAGAGCAGAATACTAACTATTAACTATGACTGGCACAAAAGCAACAGGCATGAACCAAAAGAAGAAAATGAAGAACTCAAAGGGACCGTATTGAGACAGAGAGAGAGAGATAGCAGTCTTCTAACAAACAAAACATTCAACAAAATAAAACGATTGCCCACAGATTCTCTTATGGAACTGATCCTTCAAGGCCAGGACTACATGTTGCATAAAATATAGGTGCATTTACATACATACGACCCAATTCCTATGTATTTACATTTCTAAAATCCAAATTTCGCATTTTTACATTTATACCACCCAAATTTTTTATATCACATCAAAAATACCACCATTTTAACTTTTATAATAAAGTGAAATATACCTTTTCACGCATAAGTATGGTAATATGTAGGTAAAAATTGAAGTTTATGTGTTATATATGTAAATACATTGGAATTGAGTGGTATGTATGTAAATCTTCCTAAAATTATATCTTACACAATAGTACCTGATATCCATGCGTCAGAACTTTAATCTTCTGTTCGAGGCGGGTTGCTTTCTTTGCCTCGTCATCCATCTTCTTCTTGAGAATCTCGAATTCATTCTGTAGAACTACAAGCTTCTCATTGCTACCAGCAACGCTAGCCAAGCCATAAGCATTACGTGCAGGAAAGAACATTAAGTCTTCCTGGCATGCATCACGTGCTTTAACAAAATCATCAAATGACTCGTTTTCATGCCCCATAGCCACCCTAAGAAACTTCATCTCTTCCTTAATCAAAGAACCAGCCTACAAGGGAATAAAAATTGTTATTTCCATGCTAGTGAAGTTATCTTAATAGCAATATACAATTAACTTACTCGTTAAGCAAGTAAAAAAATATGTATTTTCCCCAATTATTACTTAAATTGTGAAGATACACTGAGGATAATAAATTGCCATGTTTTAGTCAAACTTTTTGCAAAAGATTGAAAATAAGTTGTAAGATATGCAAATTAGATCATTAAAGAGAGGCAATCCAATTGAACGCTGCAAATAACTCCAGAAAACAAAGCTATCCACATAATTTCAACATTATATAGCAGATTGACCAAGAGATTGATATAGTTGATACTTAACCGTTCAACAGCTTGATGGAGATTATTGATGGCGATGATTTTCATGTTACATTACTATCAAAATAACATCGTCTAGGTTTAGTGTGCATTTTTGTATCGTTAATCAAACATCATACAAGAAGAATCAAAGCTTCAAAATTTGGAACATTGGATTAAAATTTAGATCATAGTAAAACAAGGATGAGTTTTCTACTTTGAAACAAAATTTGAATAAGTTTGTATATGAATTTAAATTCACATTACGATAATTCTAATTAGTTATCTCCTATTTTAAATTTATGGATATGGTTTTCTCTTTTGAGGAAACTATATAGGACTACATTCAATTTTATCCCTTACTTAACTGCCTTCAAAAGATCTTCATTTCCAGCAATAAATTCAAGACAACCTCATCAAAAATATTTTCTATATTTTCTTGATCATCCTCTACAGCCATCGACCATCAATCAATTGGGAGAAGAAACCGTGTCTCCGGCCTGCCGTTGACTGCAATTCTGAAAGAGGAATACAGCAAGCTGCATTGCAGATTTGCAGTCCAGTGCTGAATATCTTCGAAGTATGGCATAAATATTGTTGTACGAATAGGAATATTATACTTGGCTACCAAGTGAAGCAAGACTCAGAAAACTGAGTTCGTTCGATGAATACGTAGAAAAAAAAGACAGGAAAAGGGGAAAAGTAGTCTGCAATATGAAATAACAATCAAGACAAATTTAATTGATTCATAGATTACTAGGGAACGTCGATAAAAATTCTTGGACTTTTTCAAATATGTTTTACTCTCCTATTGTGGACTTCCGTTATAAAGTTAAGAGCTCCAATACAAATTAAGATGTTATCAGAGTTCTAATCTTTGATGCATTCTATAAATAAAGAGCGGATATAAAAGTAAGAGAGAGATGCTTGTCATCTTAGAGTCGCATCAAAAAGAAAGAAAAAAAAGAGAGAGAAAAACATTAATCCATGGTTAACAACAATTCTACATCAAATCTAACCGTCCAAGTGACTAGAGTGACAGAGCATATAACCAACACAATGGAACGGATTATGATGCAAGCAACCATCCCTGTGAGTAATAGACCAAGTCAATTTTTTTTTCCGTCTTTGCGAGTGCGAACATAAATAGAGAGAATGAAGAAGAGTAGATGGCTCACTTATGTAGGAAGAGTGTGTATTTAAAGTAAAAGCTAAAGTAGAGGTTTCTAAATATGACAGGAACAATTGAAGCGAGAAATTGAACTATGCATTGATCAATTGGAAACTCACTTCACCCTTTATGGGTATATCTCCCATAAAAAGTTTGTCTTCACCAAATTGAATTAAACAATCATTCACTTGCACTGGAATGCTCAAATAAAAGGATACTCGGGGAATATTCAGGCAATTGATATACTGAGAGTTCTACTCAATAGGATAGGAAAAATTAACGAAAAAACATCACAATTTGAAGTAATGACAAAGATAGTTTGTCACCATAGAGTTCGGTGATAATGCTATTACATGAGAATAAATCTTGGGAGGAACAAATATCGACTAAATGCACCTCAAGAATTCATTTGTAAATTGCAAACGAGCATTGACAGTTTATCAATCATTAGTCCAAACCAGATTGATATGATGGCGAGGGCTATGCAGTATAAAAATTGGAAGAAGTAAGTAAAGATCCATGTACCGTCACTAAAAGGGTCTTCTTTCTCCAAAAAAAAGACCAATGATGGCCCTTCCTCCTACAAAGCCAATGCCTTCAATAAGTTCTATGACAATTACTAAATACCTGATTATACTTAAAAAAAATAAAGATTTGTTGTGATGGATTCAGAGAGCATCTCCATTTCATAGAGATGACAATGCAGAAAGAAATAGTAGTGAGGTCTTTACCCAATAAGCATGAGAAAAATTGTTCGCCTTAAGTATACAGGTTAAGCAATAGACGATGAATGCCATCATCGATACCAGTAACCATAGGGACCACATTTTTGTCAATTTAGTGTTCATGTTCGGGCGAAACATCAGAACCTATTAAAATCCCTATCATTTTAATTGACGATAAAAGACATTACCAAAGAAACAAATCAAACCAAATAGTTGGTTGAAAGAATCTTCTTAAAAATTAATTTTTAAACCGTTTTTAAAATTTTCGATAAACTTTATTAAGTATCAATTATCAAACAAAATTAAGTGATACACTAGAGAAATTGTACTAGTTTCCCTCATCTGGAAATCTAAAATTCACATGTTTATTATAAAGGGAGTTGTAAACTGGGATCAGATCATAAAAGGGGAGATTAATCTAACAGTACAAGTCAAAAAAGTTCATTAGATAAACCTACCATCATAACTTAGCATTCGATAATGAAGGATTAGAAGATTACTAAATTGATTCCAAACTGTACTTAATAATTCTCAGATCGCACAATTAAGAGAAAAAAGAATCTTGCTAAGAGAACATAGGCAAGAAAACATCATATAAGGAAGATTAAGGTCCCAAATGATGGATCGTTAGATTAAAATTCAAATAAAGTAAGATTAGGAAAAGTTGTAAATTTGTATAACTACTTCAGACAAAATTTGTATTTAAGCTTAAATCCATATTAAGATAAATTCTATTAAAATTCAAATAAAGTAAGATGAGGAAAAGTTGTAAATTTGTATAACTACATCAGACAAAATTTGTATTTAAGTTTAAATCCATATTAAGATAAATTCTATTATAGATATGTCCTACTTTGAAGTTAATAAGTTCATAATTTTTACGCAAAATTTTCTCTTTTGTGAAGCTTATTTATGATTTTTAAAGATCATATTTCCATCAATTATTGCCTATAAAATAGATTAATTTCCTTGAAACAAATTCAGCTCAATCTCTCTGAAAATTCATTCTATAGTTTCCACACAACTCTCTACAGCCATCAGCCACTCTCCAATCACTCTACACCCTGAAGTCAGCATAGCAGCCCGCCCGCCATGGTTATGCCACAGAGAGTCCAAGCTCCCACCAGTCCAGCTTCTGTGCAACAATCTTCAGAGCTGTAGTTTGCTGCCGCTTCGAGCTGAAGCTTCAAGGAGCTCACTGGACCCTGCAGCAAGAAGAATCTGCCGGCAAATTGCTGTTCACAGCAATGCCGGAGATGCAACCAGCAAGCTGTATTGCTGTGCAGTGCCAAATAACTCCAAAACAATGGAGACTTATTGCTATCCTGGCAAGCTGGAAGAGAATTCAACAATTGTACTTGATATCGGATTAAAAAGATATTAAAAAATTGAGTTGATTGGCTGAGCACACCCAAAAAAAGACCAAATCAGTCAGGAAAGCTCATCTACAGCATGAAAGATTATTAATTGATTAATAAATTATTAAAGACCCTAAGTAAAGTTCCTGAAAATCTTTCCAAATTCATATAATCTTCTACTCTGGACTTCATCATAACATTAAAAGGATGATTCGGATTATCATAACCCTTCAGAATCAATTTCTGAATGGCATCCTCATGTTTTGAAAAGTAGATTTTTTTTTAAAACAGGATATGTAATACAAGCCCCAGCAGTGGCTCAACCAAGTAAAGTAGCTTAAAAAAGTAAACTTGATTCTACTTTATCCGAAGCGCCACTAAGGAAGTACTAACATTGATAAGTTAGGCAAACAGCTCTACACTACACAAAGTAATTAGCACTATTAATGCAAAAATCAAGACTTAATAACAAGAAAAAAAAACTTTGCTTTAAAGTTTAAATCGCCACACTTATAATGCCAAAGCCCATAATTCTACCAAATTAGGGAATAATAGTTCCTGTTCCTAATCACCATGCATAATATCTATTAAATGTGCATATAAATTCAATAAACATGCACACCAAAGAATGGAAAAATACAGCAGCAATCAAATTCCTGGATCAATAGCAGAGGAAAAAGAGTTTAGGAATTCACAAATATCGACCATTAGAGAGCTAAATCTAACAGGAATTGTGTAACTACCAAGAATAAAAATAGGTGTTCATCAAATATGACTGCAAACTATTGCAAAGAAATGTGCATCTAGAAGCAGAGAGCTCGTAGGCAGAAGTACAGAATGGCCTACGAGGCAAATCAATCATTAGGTGTCATTATAAAGACAGCATAGCTATGCTATGCCAACGTAACGAGCCTTGTTGAAAATGAAAATGAATTCGAAATGTATGTAATTGGAAGAAATTGGAGATGCGTGATAAGACAGGCTAAAGTTAAAATGTAAACAAACCATGAATATATTGTTCTCCAATAAACAGCCAAAATTTGTTAAAAAATTTTACTTTTTCTCACTGTTACATGATTAAGTTTCAAGAACAGTCCTGTTTTTTATTAGGCTTACGCCATTTTTCACAATATCTTAAATTAAATTTAAAAATTATCCTTCTATTACTTGCTCTGTGCACACTACAAAAATATATCCTAAATTTTAGTAGCTTCAGGTACATTGTCATTCTTCTCAGCAAAGTTGATTTTATCGCTCCTATCATTCTAGCAATTCATGTAAAAGCTCACTTTATTGGTAGAACAGATAGAGAACAAATACATCATTGAACTTGAAAAATACAGTCTAATAGCACACAGCAAATAATATTTGTATGGAACAAAGGGATACAGCTATCAGCAAATTTTTTGTATCAAAAAATTTACGGTTAATACGAGAGCTT